GAAGATACTGAAAGACAGGATCAGTTTTTTACTTAAACTTAATGGAATAGCTGGGGCCAAGCTGGCTATGGTTATGAGTAGGGTGTTCATATATCATCCAAACTAGGATACTCTTGTAGATTAAAGGGGTACTTTGCCAGGGTAAGAGCTGTAAACTAGGAGGATTATCCCAGGCAACTTGGAAGTTAATGTCATCTTATTTATTTTGGTATGACATGAAGTCTATTAGAAGAACCTCAACTTTACCTTCACTTACTTCTAAATTTACTTGGTTTTTTTAATTTATTTTTTAAAAATATTTTATTTATTTGAGAGAGAGAGTGAGTGAGAGAGCGAGCATGAGCAAGGGAGGAGTAGAGGGAGAGGGAGAAGCAGACTTCTCACTGAGCAGGGAGCCCTGATACTGGGACTCCGGGATCATGACCTGAGCGGAAGGCAGATGCTTAACTGACTGAGCCACCGAGGCGCCCCTAAATTTACTTACCTTTTTAAAATGATAGTAAGTATTGATCTATGGCTTGTAAGGTAAAGAACCCTGAATAGGATAATGCATTAAGAATTTAATATATGTGTATGCAAATTTTTAGTTTACTGTACTCTAAAGGCAGAACACAGAAGGTATGCATCTGAACACTGAGTGCTTTGAATAAAAGAGGAGAAAAGGAATGCAAATTGTATTACATACAACCAGTATTTGTTAACTGCAACACTTGGCACTGAAAATGTGTCATTTTCAAATGGTGAAACAGTCACAATTGTATAAGGAAATGTGTTAACCATGCTATGATTAATCATTACTTCCCGTATTACTTTGCCTAGAAAAATATTTCACAGAAAAAGAAGGCAGGCGCCTGGGTGGCTCAGTCAGTTAAGCAGCCAACTCTTGTTTTTGGCTCAGGTCATGATTTCAAGGTCCTGAGATTGAACCCCACCTTGGGGTCTACGCTCAGTGCAAGCCAGCTTGAGATTCTCTCTCTCCCTCTGCTCCGTCCCCTGTTGTGCTCGCTTTCTCTCAAAAAATAAATTAATAAATTTAAAAAAAGGAAAAAAAAGAAGGCAAGTTTTTCCCATCAATAATAATAAAATGAAAAAAAAAAAGCAGTGTTAACCATGGGTAAACATGTTTGTTCCAAGTGCACGAGGAGGAGAGAGTCGCATACACTCTTGGAAAGCATGGGAACTGATGCAATCACCCTGGAAAACACTCTGGAAAACTATTTGACATTATCTACTAAAGCTGAATATATACTTATGTTTTGGCTCCTAAGTTTCTATCCTCACAGAAATGTGTACATACATTCATCATACAAAGATACACAAAATGGTAAGGGCAGCATTATTCTTAACAATCTCAAACTAGAAACTACTTAAATGTCCATCGATAGGAGACTAGAGAATGATTTTGATGCAGTCACACAATGAAATACTATTCATCAATAAGAATGAAAAATCTGCAACCATTCTCAACAATGTGGATCAATCTCACAAACGGAATCCTTAGTGGAAGAATCTAGACAATAGGAGGCATATTGTAGGATTCTTCTTAGGCAAAATTCAAAACCAGGCTAACCCAATGCACAGCATTGAGTCAGGATGACTATTAGCCTTAGGGTGCTAGCATTGACTACAAGGGGCACAAGGGAGGGCCCAGAGGCTGGTGAGGTTTTGTTCCTTGATCTGGACGCTCATTACATGGGTGTGTATACGATGTGAAAAGTTAAATCAAACTGCAACACATTATGTGTGTGCTTTCCTTATAAAAATAATTCTTCAGTCAATGTTTCTGAAAAGAGTCAAGCTTCAGTCCCGCACTAGTGGAAATGATAATAAATTTTAAATCAACAAGTTCTGAACTAATTGTTTTAAAGCATACAGAAACATTAATTCCCTTCTAATCTTTGAGAAAAGTTGCACTACACAAAATATGTTCCAAGGTTTTACAAAATGGTTTGATGGGATTTTTTCCAATTCTAAATTTCCTTTCAAAAGAAAATCTACTCATGTTTGCAAAACTTGGGATTATAAGAAAAAAATGGAGAATATGACCCAATTTCCTGAGTTTCATATATCTGTAAACACATAATATGTGCATTATGTATAATACATGTATATGGGTAATATCTGCATATAACACATATAATACATATACATATAACATATATATGAATTTATAGTATTAGTGATTTTTTTCCCTATGTTTCTCTCTTTTAACAATTACATGCAATGCATTTCTTAAAAGTTTTTTCCTTAAAATTTAAAAATATAATTGTTCCAGTTTTAAGGACTGTTTTCTAGAATGCAAAAATAAGAGTGTGGACCGTGTCAATGTTTTCTAATGAGAAAGGAAAATTGTCAGCGGCATTACCTTTCACTGATAACTTATAAAAAGTAAAGAATGTAAAATATAGTTTGTATTTCTGGACTAAATTTACTAGGTAGGTTGTACTCAGTCATTCATAATATATATAGAAGTGCTTACAGAGGTATTATATTGAAAAGGTTCTAGATTTGAAATAATTCTTCTTTTGCTTATAAATGTGTAAAGAATTTTGACTCTAAACTCTCATCATTTCAATGTTTGCTATGAATGCAAATGTAACAAATAAAAAACTATTATAGCAGACTATGTTTTAATTGATAAACCAGTCTTATCATGATCTTTTATATTTTACTGTTATTTGCCTTTTTTACATGTCTTAATATTGTTCAATTTTATTTAGGTTGCAGTACATGGTTAATGCAATGTAGAAGTAAAACATAATTAGTATCTGATTCAACTTCCTATCATTGCACTTAGAACAAACATATACCACTAACAAGCTAGCTAGACATTGAATAATTACTTAGTTGGTGTTACAAACACTTTACATGGTGTGTTATTTAGACATTCAAGAGAACTTCATTAATATTTGTAGAAACTGGGATTTGGGGGTAGGCAAGACATTCATTAAAATGTTTCCAAATTTAAATAATGGAATACTCATATTACACCTGAAAATTCGTTATACAATATATTTTTTAAATGGGATTATAGTGAAGAAAAAGATACGGCTTTAATATGTTATATAAAAGAAGACACTAATGCTGAAAAGGTATTTGCTGTTATTTCTTGACAGTGAATGTGCATATGTGAACTGCTTTAAAATGACAAAAATAAATAAATATAGAAATAATTTGGGAGGTAATCCTCAACTATAAAATTTTAATGCCCTACAGTATTTTGTGAAGACTCTTCTACTTCTTGAGGGCTGGGGCAAGGATGTACAAGAAACTTTTAGGTAAAAATGTTTCCATTTGTCAGATATAGAGGCCTGTTTATCTACAAAAACATACCCTGTTGTTGAAAACCAATTTCTGGGCTCTGGAGCCGAAATAAAACATCAAGACAGAGTTTGCGGATAAAGAGGAACGATAGTTTTATCGCTTTGCCAGGCGAAGGAAGCTGCAGCAGGCTAATGCCCTCAAAACTGTAGACCCAAGGCGCCGGGGTGGCTTAGGCAGTTGATCTTCCAACTCTTGATTTCAGCTCAGGTCGTGATCACAGGGTCATGGGATCTAGCCCCGTGTGGGGCTCTGTGCTCAGGGTGGAGTCTGCTTCAGATTCTCTCTGCCTCTCCCTCTGCTCCTTCCCTCATTCACTCTCTCTCTCTCTCTGTATCCCTCTCTAAAATAAATAAATAAAATCTTAAAAACAAAACAAAAAACCTGCAGACCCACAGGGGCAAAAGGCTGAGGGGTTTTAGAGGAAAATACAGGATCTGGGCAGTTTATTAGCACCATGCTCTAACCAACTTGAGCTAACCGGCCAACTGCCTGGACCTGGGCAGTTTAGATAGGAATCTGGTATGAGCTGCCAGTTGTGTTCATCACGTCTTCAAGGTGGTGTCTGACTAGCCCAGTCACTGGCCGTCCGAGTCTCATGACTGAGTACACACTGAAGTCAGCACAATGTCCACATCAATTCTGAGTTCCCTGAACAAAGGATTCTACAGAAAAACAAGGCAAGGGGAGGGGGAGGCTTCAAGAACGAGGAAGAGAAAAATCTGTTCCATTTAAAGCCAAACCTTGCTAAAGCACGAGTGTGTCCATCTGAATTTCCATCCATCTTTATGTTTCTATAGTGATTTCAATATCCTACAAATACGTTCACTGCCTAAAATGATAGTAATGATGGATGCCAGAAAAGCTAAGCACAATTTCATGTGCAGAATATTACAGATCAGAATACAGAGAATAAAGAGAAATTGAACCAAGGGTTATTCAGAAAGACAGGAGAAAATGAAACCTGAGATTTACTCGTCCAAACTCTGAGGATCAGGTCTGATAACCTCAGAAGAATTCAAGGGTAAAATGGAACGAAACCCACCCTTCCACCCCCTTCCCCAAGAGAACAACAGAAGGACTAGCTCCCCCTGGGATTCCTCAAGGGGCCGCTCCCTTCTCTGCCCTTAAGCCCCAAACAACCTCTTGGCCTCACTTCCTTTCTTATCCATGGAGAACTTCCTTCCAACCAAGAACGAAGAGACTACTGAAGCCATGCCTTGCCTCCGCTCAACTCCCTTATTTTGATTTCAGTGTTAAGATACAAAGAATTTACGGAACAAGCCATTTGCTTTCATGTTTTGTTTCTTTTCCTCAGTAATTTTGAGACAAAAATCATTAAAATGGGAATGATTAGGGATTTTAAGAATTTTCAAATCCATTTTTTAAAAGACAATTATTTTAATGGATATGTAAATTATCTTAGTAACCTCTACCTAGAAAAGTCAATATTCTAGAGACCACATTGGAAAATAGCAGGTCCACACTCACGGGCTTTGATATTAACAAAGTTAAAGTCTGGGTGTTGCACCTGTTACAAGTCTACACATACAGATAGCAGTTGGGACTGGCAACAGAGAATTTCTTCCCTGGCTATTTCCACTTGAATTGTTTCACGAGAAAACGTTCTGCTTAGAGTATTGATATTAAAGTGGATATGCTACACATTTTTTTTTCCACATCATACTAGTAATGTGCCGAGGTCATAACAAGGTTTCAGGAAGACACAAGTCACACAATGGCGTGAACACCCTATCATCACACTCAGGAACAACAAAATGATCAGTGATATGCTAAATATTTAGTCTCTAGATTTTCTAAATTTGACACCTGCACAATCACTAGAAAGCTGAATTCCAAGCCTCTGCAGAGCTGGTTTTACCCAGCTCTTCCCGAAGGCTTAAGTGGGCCTTAGGTCTTTACCCAGGTCTGCAGTAGCACTTGGGCAGAGGCAGACTGACCATGAACTTGACGAAGTTCAACCTGCAGGGCCCCTCACTTGCACAGGCCTCTTCTGGGAGGGCCCCGAATCCTGGCTTCATAAAGTGGATAATTTTGGTAAAATTTGCAAATATAAGATATTTTACTCTACACCCTGTTAGGAACACTGTCTGGGACCATCTGCTTTCTCCTCTGACATGCTTCCCTTCTTGTTGTCTGATGGTTATTCGTATGGCTCCAAGAATGTTAGGTATCTCAGAGGAATTTGTGTTGGCCATACATTTATTTTGGATTTACATTATGTGATGGCAGTGACGTTAGTGGAAAATTAGGCTATTCTTAGTCATCCAGGCTCAGACTGTGCCAGCTCCCCCGGGGTCCTGCTACAAAGCTGCAGGGCCTGAGGTCATAACGTGACCAGCATTGGAAGAACAAGAGTCAGGAAAGAAACAAGGTTGGAAGTGTATAGAGGCATATAGCTAGTTTTTCAAATACACTTCCAATTACCATAGAGGTAAAACTGTTAAGAGGATTCTGCTCTCATCAGTGCTAAGTGAAGAAAGAACTTTCTGCCTGTCAACAACAGACTGAACAACGCAGTATAAGCAATTTAAAGAACCACCATACTTTCTTTTTTTCTACTTTTTCTGGAAATAGAGGGAAACAGATTTATCAGGATTCCTGACTTGGTAGGACATAAACCTGTACCATTCCTATATACAGTGAGTCTGTGTGTGAAGTGCGTATTTTATACATCCAAATGTTTCCGATTTTATCTTTGTGTATCTGACACCTTTTCTATTGCTGAAATAGCAGGCAGATCATACCCAAAGTAGCAAATCCTGAAGAGGAAAAGAGAAATTTCTTAGATTTTTTTCAATAATCCAATAAAAGAAGAGGCACACATCATGCAATTACACTGGGAATATATTAAAGTTTCTGCTCTTTTGGTTTAACAAATTTACTGACATTATCAAAAATAATAAAACTCATATGCCACCATAACCAAAATATCAAAGCATACTGGCTGATGTATGTTGTCAGTCAAAGGATTTTTTTAAAATTAGTTCTCCCAAGGGGCGCCTGGGTGGCTCCGTCGGTTAAGCGTCTGCCTTCGGCTCAGGTCATGATCCCAAGGTCCTGGGATCACGTCCCACATCGGGCTCCCTGCTCCATAGGAAGCCTGCTTCTCCCTCTCCCACTCCCCGTTTGTGTTCTCTCTCTCGCTGTGTCTCTGTCTGTCAAATAAGTAAGTAAAATCTTAAAAATAAATAAAATAAAATTAGTTTTCCCAAGAAAATGTGAAATATAAATTCTCTGAAAATCTTATAGTTCATACACGGAAGAAATGGAGAGATTTCCCCAAATGTGGCAATAATCGTAAAAATTTATGTAATGTTATAGACAACTTATAAAGCTCAAATAAACTTCTTAAAACTACCTGTAATAATAAATTCTAATCAACCACGCTATTTCCTCTATAATAAAATTGTTGCCTCAAAAGAGGTTTTATTCCTAGAGTATCCAGCCAACAAATGCAGAAAAAAAATTATCTTTTTAAAGATTTTATTTATTTATTTGAGGGAGAAAGAGAGAGACAGTGAGCGAGGGAGCACAACCCAGGGGGAAGGGCAGAGAGAGGGAGCAACAGACTCCCCGTGAGCAGGGAGCCTGATGTGGGGCTTGATCCCAGGACTTTGGAGATCATGACCTGAGCCGAAGCCAGAGGCTCAACTGACTAAGCCACGCAGGAATCCCCGGAAAAAAACAAAATTATTGAGTTACGGCAGGCTGTTAATTGTTTCTTAACTTTTAATAGTATTAATCTCTTGTGATTTACTTCACGCTAAAGAAATATTATCTTTTCTTCCTAATTTTGTATTTGTAATTTTCCATCCTGTTTCTTAAATGGGAGTCTCTAAGATAATGTTAAGTTTCTGGCCTCATAAAACCTGGATCAGTTGTGTGTTTCAATGTGTTTTTCTGCCACTGTAGAAAATGACCACATAATTTATTTTCCAAACAAGGACACTTTTGAGAGTGTTTTATATAAATAATTTTTATATAAATAAATAAATATTTATATAAATAATTACAGATTTTAAACTGGAAAAGCCCCTAACAAACCAGAAGTAGGTCATCCTACTTAAATAAAGACAGGATAAATTTCTGATGGATGGCACAGAGAGGGAAACATTGGTCTCTTCTGGGAAACTGGTATGATTCTTTGTTATTTATTTATTACAGCTATATCTCGTTATGTTTTTTTTTCTTTCTTTGATTTCCAGGAAACTTAGGCAGAAACTTTGTGCTCAGTAACTGTAGATTTCCTTAGTTTAGGATTTTCTGGATGATACCTTAGCCTAATTTATTCCTCGTGCCTTACAATATAATTCTCTCCTTCCCTTTCCTAGCTTTTATTAAATAGTTACACACCTTTAAAAAATATTTTCTATTAAATACTGCCTCAAAGTATTTTTGGAAGTTAGTATTATATAAAGAAAATAGTTAATAATGACAAGGCTTTAGAATCGTTTAGAATTGTAGCAATAGCTACCATTTATTAAAGAGTGATTCTGGTCCAGTTCTTTTATGTAAATTAATTTTCTTTTGTTTTTTCCTTTGTGCCAATAATTTCTAGGTCTCATTAAATTCTACTATCAATCATTCATCAAATACGGCATACATTTTGATAAGGACCACTTTCTCAGAACATGAATTGTCAGCTTCATAATTATGAATCAGATTCTTTCTACTGTTGAATGGGGGGAATTTTCCATACATACACACACACACACACACACACACACACACCTATACATATATACATAGATTCTGTTTTACATATGCATATATACTCTCATATATGTACACTGTTGTATGTGTATGTGTGTGGCCTTGTTAAGTGTTTCCTCCCTGAAGACACACCATGCAGTCCTGACAAAGCGATGCTGCTGTGGCAATTGAATTCAATTATCTGCTTGACATCTTGACTTTGATAAAGTCAGTGTAATTTTCACTGCTGAATAAAAAGACTGCATTCAGTCCTGGCCATTCTGTGAGGCTCCCATTAAGTCAATGGAACCCTGTAGCCACGAAGAACAGTGGGGAGTCTCAGCAGCACGGCTAGCTGAGCAGCTCTGAATGATTTCCCCAACTAGGCAGGTACCTACCTACTCCTTAGTAACCGAAGCTGCTATCTTCAGTGAAACCTATCAACTTCTTTGATAGTGCCCCTTATGTTTTCCAGATGGTGATCTTAATAGGGACTTAGAAATGATCTCAGTGAGGCAAGCCAAGCCACCAAGGACACCTGTGAGCACTGTATTTCCAGCTTCGCATCTGGGGGAAACCTGTAGTCTGTGAAGACCACGTGGGTATGGGCACATGTGCTGTGTGCTGGGGTGGAGTGGAGGAGGAAGCAGGTGCTGTTTCAGAATGTCAATCACACTGTCCAGTCCCTTCGTCTCTGGGAACAACGAGAACGCTGAGATTCAAGTGCATTCTGATAACCTTGATAGAGCATGTAATGACGAGGCAGAAGATACAGTGAAAGAGAAAACAGACTCTCAGTTGATGGGACTCTTCCAGCAGGTGCACAGCCGGCCTGCTTTTGCTTCCCTTCACATCAGATCAAGGTTACACACTGATGGACACTTCTTGAGACCAGGTGACTTGTTTTCTCTCACTATTCCTATTCAAGGTAAGAAAAAACAACCCAAAGATAAGAGGACTGAAATGAATGGGAAGGAAACACTGAGAAAGCATTAATATTCCTGTCCCTCTTTTAGCCTATTTAGTCCATTAACCATGATTAAAACAGAGCTTCTGTGAATACTTTGCTATTCGTCATTTTAAAAGTTATTTTTCCAGGATTTAATTTTAAGACAGTGAATGAACGTCATGAAAGCAAACAAAATTTCTTTGCCAAAAAAAAAAAGAAGGCAAAAAACCCCCAAATAGTTAAAACAAAACACAGCAAAAATATACTGGTAAAAATATACTGGTACAATCAAGGAAAATGATTGAAGGGCAGGAAAATAACCAAAGTTTCAAAATATTGATATGCCTTAGCTTGGGACAGTCCAAGCAGCTCCAAATCTTGCTCAGTTTGCACTGGGAAGAGGGATGGGATTAGATCAGACAACAATGTTCCAAAAAGCATCAATAATAATTCCTCTCAGGAGAATCACATAAAGAGAAGCATGAGCTAGGGATTCTGGAAGAGGAGGTGGACACTTGCACAAAAGTAGAAGACCCTGCCTGTCTTCTTCTGAGCCCCTCTAAAGGACACTGAAAATCCCTGGATCTCACCATTGTGGTGATTCCCTAAGAGGCATCAAACTGTCAAGGGAAAGGGAAACACTCTCAAAAACATTCAGAGCTTATTATTTCCAAGAACACACTGAAATTTAATCAAACAGAAGATGAAAGATGAAATATAGAAGGAAGAATCTGAGACTGAATGGGAGGCAGCCATTGCTCAATGGAGATCCTCAGCTTTAATTTCCCAACATCCCCCCCAACCCACCCCCTGCCTCACAACCGGATTTTCAATACAAATGCTAAAACACCTATCATATGTGTATTTCTCTCTTCTTTTATGAGAAAGTGGAAATGACTGCAAAGATGAGAGAACATTTGAACTGGTCATAGAGCATGGCTAAGCTTCTCCAAATCGAGTTAGAAGAGTTATCCGAAGTCAGGGTTCATTCTGATGCTGCACCGGGATGCCTTCTAGACAAGGGGAAGGAAGAAAGGTTCAGGATAGTTAACAAAGCTTGAATGCCAATGAACCCTCTGGTTTTGCAGCGTCCTTCACCCCCCGTGCACACGCTGCAG